GGTTGAAGGGTACCATGAAAAAATGTGAACAGCTGACAATGCAGCAAAACAAAAACGATAGCGATAGGATCCGAGATCAAACCAACACCCATCAACCTGCAAAGACCATTTTGCGCGACCAAAACCGATGCTCCCGCAACATTGACCCTTACTTGTGTACGTAGTACACTGTCAAACTGAAACAAGTCTGAAACGCACTGACGTCTGATTTTCTGCCAAACTTGTCATACCACGTACTTGCTAAAGTAAGGGACCCCTAAGACAGCAACCTTTATCTCTAGCGGGGTTTCACGCCCCCAAAATGGCCCAATTTCGGGGATCTCCTTGAAGAGAACAAAGCATCAATAGGGTCGCGCAGTTGACCATGTGAGAGGTCAAAGCTCCGATCATGCCGCCATTCCCATGAAACCCCCGTAGCTTCGTTCGGCATCTCAAGCAAAAGGGTGGTTAGAGCAACTGTATTATAAACCCCCACTTGTTAAGGAGGTCCCCTGTTTAGCGGGGATTCCTTTCTTCTAGGGAAACCCTCCTGATTGATAACTGGGCGGGGCGGGGGGGGGGTATTCATGACAGGGCAAGGCAACTATTTAAACCGGGCTGTCCAAATTGTTAGTGTCCTTTAGCCTCCAAAGAATGACCCCTGGAATATGTTGTTGACTGTGCCACTGGTCAAGTTTTTGTCACCCAACAGGAACTACCCAAGCCATGGCAAGTGGCTCCAACAGCATGTTAATCTGGTGTTGTCCTCAACAGGTAGCCCTATTTTATTCAAACTTGATGAATAGATTTATATTATATATATGTATGTATTATGTATATTTTTGCACATTTACAACATAAATGAATGAAACATAAGGCGCACCCATACCCGAAAAGCTGGACTCCGGACTCCGTGGCCGGCAAGCTGTGAACAGGTCCATTGAGCTGTGGTGCGAAAAGAAAACCACAAAGAAGCCATATATGTCTAAGGGTACCTTCCCCATTCTTTCCATGGATCATTCTTTCTAGAAAACCTCCGGAAACCCAGGGAAAACGGATCCGGTTTTGGTAAGAACGATGGTTGAATTGAGAAGAATGGGGAATCAACCCCTAGAATATGCGAATGTCTCAAAATAGGGCCCTCAGGTACTGTTCCCTTGTTTCCCTTCCAAACCACACAAAAAGGTTTCCCTCAATAATAAAGGTCTCACCCATAACATGGATCCTCAACTTGCTTCGGAAATCCTGACGCGCTCAGTGTCCGACCTGTCAAACAAAGCGCCCTAGCAATGAACTTCGGCAGCCAGCAAGCTTTGGACCTGCCCCTCAAGGCTCAACACCATGTCAAAGGGGTGTATCTCAAAATTAGGTGAGAAACGGTCCCTTTAGAACCTCCAGAACGGGGCACCCTATTGTCCACAAAAATGGCCCATCAGAGGCTACACTCATCCGGCCAAAGCTCGCCCACATCGCCGAAGATCTCCTGAGACGTCCAGTCACTTGACCCAGGCTTGACAAAAGGGGGCCGAATAATATCATAAGTATACATACTTTGTGCACCAGCTGATCCATGGCTGAATTCACAACACTGCTCGATTTTGTCCAGGCCGCCAAGGGCACTTATTGCAGGCCGAGTACCAATAATCGAAACCAAAGCAAGCAACTTTGGTATCCTACGTCTGGCCTAAGTATGCAACCAAAGGCTCGTGTGCGTCAAAAGCAGCATGCAGCACACGTGCTTTAACGTCTTAGATCCTACCAACCCTTCGCAAGATTCGAGGTTACTTTTGGGAAAATCACCTGTGTTGGGTTGGCTTTTTATACAAATACCAAAGAGAAACCACCCATCGGGAGGCACACCCAACTCCATGCCAGTCAGATCACCCAAGAAGGTACCTTCAAATTTACATGCAAGCCATTGAGGGAGACTCACAAAGGAGATTCTCTTGGGGGCCTCCAGAAAAAAGTCCTAGAATATGATGTGGCCATGGGTCAAAAGCCAAATCGTACCCCCAGTGAACATCCCAATACCCACTAAAATAGACTAAAGTGGGCGGTGAATTCACCTACCCCAAAAATGGTACCCTTGGTTTTGTCCCACAGCCATGTGTTGTTGAGTTTCATGTGCATCTGCAGGGGGGTACCCCTAAAATAGCGCCACCATGAGACCCCGAACTCGGGTAGGGTTGCAGGCGTGCGGCGTACTGCTGCGTGAGCCCCTCTGTGACAGGCTCGTCAATGTACACGATCCCCTGCACGCAGAAACGACCAAAACCATGGAAGCTGGAGACCCTGTGAAAACACTTCTTCCTTCAAAGGGGCCTTCTGTCAGCTTCCAAGTGGGAGGGAGGAGATTTGGGGCTTCCTCGCAAACAGAAGGTACCTCAAGAGTTCAAGAGGGTGCCTTGACCTGAAGGGACCTCCGGTCGGTGAGAGGGAGGCACCTTTTTCCCATGGAATGGTTCAAGCCTGTGGGTTTGATGTAGATGATTGAGTATCCGGATGCTCACCATATCTTAACCCCCGGCTTTCCCAAAGCAGGCCAGGAAAACTGCAGAACTTGTGGGTTCCCTTGCGCACCTAGCGACAGACTGCTTGGTCAGAATGCCTGCGTTCTCTGACGGATTCCCCGGCCCAGGGATGGCGGGGAATCGAGCAAGGGTCATACTGAACGCCCCTCTTGGGAAATTGTTTTACGGACCAACCGGAAGAGCACCAATCATTTTTGGGGCCTTGGGGGTCTCCTAGCTTAGGCAAAGGCCAAATCTCTTCCCAAACAAGCCATCGCTGCTTGCCCTTTGCGTCATCCCCAAGCGCAAAAGGCTGCATTCTGCAAACCGCATGGGTCGCGAAGATGTCTTCAGTCATCTGCTTTGTCTCGCTGAAAGTGAGTGACATTCGCGTCTGGGCCTTCGCAAGGCTCTGGTGGATCCCAAGCCGTGTCCTTTTCAGTTCTGAAGTGGTTCTCTTGACTGTCTGGGTGTGTTTTCTTAGACCCCCTTTTGGAGCTCATTTCAAGGGAAACCACTTTTTTTTGGGGGGTCCCCGAAAAAAGACACACCCACAATGCATAGAATCACTGGATGTTTGCTGCCTGCCGACCGCTGGGAACTGCATCGCCGATTCCTCGCCGAACCCCGCCTGGCCGAACTCGGCGGTGGAGCTCGTGTTCACCTGGCGAAAGTCCAGAAGGCAGAGAGGGGATGCGCTCTGGCGAAGACAAGCTAAAAAAAAGCAAGAAGAAGAACACCAACTGGAACCGGCGGCCAAACTGTTGGCCGAGATGCTCGGCAGCAGCAATTTCATCTGAAACCGCAAAAAACAAATGCCGACGCTCCTTGAGATTTGGGGAAATTGCAATGGCCAATCGGAAGAAGGGACCTGCGGAAATGGAACCGGCCGGGACAAAGAGGGACACCAGTCGCATCCCCGATGCCCCTAAGGAATTCAAGGGCACGTAGCTAGAAGTGCTAAGCGCTTGTAGACATTGACAGCCACTCTGCCCATGGCTTATAACTGGCAGGAGAGTCCGTCCCTTCGGCCTTGTGCTTGTCGCCGGCTTCGCTGGCGCTTGTAGCTAGGTCCGACTTTGTCTGCCTTGCCCTTGGCAGCACCGGCCTGCTGCAAGCAATTCACGCCTTTCGCAGTAGCAGTCTTCAGGGCAGTCTGTCCCTGAATGTCGGCCTTGTCCATGTCAGCGCCAGCTTGGAGCAAGAGTCGCACAAGGTCGAGATAGCCACTCGCAGCAGCAAGATTCAGGGAAGTCCATCCTTTCCTGTCAGGCTTGGCCACGTCAGCCTTGGCTGCCAGCATGCAGCTTGCGAATCTTGCGGATTCTGAGGGCGCAGATCAGCAGCCCAATGCAGGGGAGTCCATCCGTTCTTCATTTCGGCCTTGTGCACGTCAGCGCCTGCTTGGAGCATGCAATCCACAACTTCCACCCAATGCGGAGAACTCTTTTCCTCCCAAGTAGACATGAGAGGAGTCTCTGTGTAAATGCCACGCTTGTCCACGTCAGCCTTGGCTGCCAGCAAGCAGCGCACGATTTCGGTGTGACCATAGAAAGAGGTCAGCAGTAGGGGTGTCGCCAGTCAACACCCGCGCAACCAGGTCATGTTAATCTGAGCTTTGCCTTTCAGCCTGAAACTGGCAATGCAGAAATTCGCCGACGCACAGGGCTCCCTATGCTTCCCTAAAAGTCACCATTCTAAGGAACAAGCAGGGACCCCGAAAGCATCGCGAACAAAAAGACCGCGAGTAATCCATCGGGCCTTGTGCTCCACCACTTTGCCATCAAAGCAAGACTGGAACGCCACCTGGCCCAGTGCATCGCAGGTGCCACTATACCAGGCAACGAACCAGTTTTCCATTTAATTGTTGCAAGGGTGGTTCCATATGGATGTGGTTGTCAAAACCGTTTTGGATCCGATTTTGTGGGATTGGTGAATTCACCACCCATTTTAGAACCTATTTTGTGTTGGTGGATTGGAATGTTCACTGGGGGTACGATTTGGCTTTGGCTTTTGACCCATGGCCTTGTGGCTCCCTTGGTCACCTGCAGTGCAAATGGAATCTCTCGTGGCGAGAGCCGCCAGCGGAACGCGCGGAATCGGCGCATTCCGACATGTCGTGAAAAAGACGGCAAAAAGCCTCTTCTTCAACAGGAACATGCATTTGAAGATGCTCCGACAATGAGAACCTCTCCAAATGCCAACAGTTTTAGATGAATTTCGATGCCCAAAGAGATCCAGTTTGAACTGGTTCCACATGGCTGCTAGGCCAACCTGAAAGGCAAAGCTTCGAGAGTGCTACTAGTTGGGCCGTCCTGCGAAACAGCTGAACGGCTCCTGTTTGGCTTGAAACGTCAAGGTCGTCCAGTTCAAATGTTTGAAGATGTTCAAACTGCTATTGTTTTAACATGTGACTAGCTCCGTTCTTTCCACCAGGGGCTGGTTTTGCACTCCTGATGAACATGGAACTCGAGCAAGTTGATTTTGAAGGAGAAAATCACACATGACATGTCAATGTCGCCCAACCCTTCCGTTCCCCCCTGCCCACTCGCCACTCAGTGCCAGCGAAATCGAGGCGCTGCAAGCCTCAGACTTCAAGTCCGACTGAATGAAGAAGAGGTCCTCCAAGGCTGCCTGAGATGACTCATGGTAGGGTATACCTCAAGGAATTCTGCTCCCAAAATGGGGCTTTCCTCTTAGCTTCCTTTTCAACACACACACACACATAAAGCACTCTGGCAAAATGCCAAGGCTGCCAACAGCAGAATGTTTCAAAGTGAGGAACTTCCTTTCCATGGCCAGTCTTGGGTTTTCTTTGAAACCAATCAACAGAAGGCGGCTCTGCAACATGGGACACATCAAGTTCAACCACTCGAAGGAAACAATGCATCGCATTAAGCTTGTTCTGAAATCCCGCAGCCAAGACTTACCACAATCCTCAGCCTCAAAGCTCACATGCTGCACCCCTTACAATCCGCCGTGCAAGGCAACTGATTTATTCTGAAAGGCAGGACCAATCGCTGAGGGGGAGGGTAGCCTCTTGCAAACAACAAGCATTCCGCTGCTCCTTCAAGGTGAACCTTTTCGCCGGAACCGACGCCAAGGCTCGTCCCTTTGGATACCTCCTTGATTGAATGATGGTCCCTCTGAAAGGAAACTGACCCAATCAAGACGATCCTCGCATTGAGGTTCTTTATTTTGGGAAGGTGTCCTTTTCAGCAATCAAGACTCAAGGAGGTATCCAAAGGGATGAGCCTTGGCATTGGTTCCGTCCAAAATAAAGAACCAAAATACGAGCATCCTCGTGATTGGGTCAGTTTCCTTTTCAAGGGAACCATCATTCAGGGTCTGTCTGCGTTTGGCAGGGTACCTGCCAAAAGGTAGGACCTAGGGTAGGACACAAAAACTGCCGGCAGGGTTGAATGGAAGTTCGGTCCAGCTTTCTTAGTCATTTAAGGGTTGACAGCTAATCATCACCGACTCCGACAAACTCCCCAAACAACAGGAAACCCAGTGCCTGGGCAACAAAGAAGCGTAGACAAGTGCTGGAATGGGACCAACTTCCTGATATGTCTGAGACCCAGCGACCCATTATTGCCTTCCATCCTTAGCAATGGCAGCTGTACCAAAAGCTCCGCAAATCAAACGCCGCCACGCCTTTCCCATCATGAGCTCCTTGATGTCCGCCTTGCCAAAGCCATCCAGCTTGCGTCCAGCCACCTGTGCCACGCGCTCAAAACGGTGCTTGCAACATTCAGCGGTCACTTGGGAGAACACGAGGACAAGGACAACTTGGTTTCAGGATGCGCCATGGTGAAGCTAGCCCCACACTGACACTTGTGAAAGACAGACAAACACACAGAGACACAGAGACACGAAGACAGACACAGACAGACCCACACACACACACACACTTGCCCCCCTCCCAATTCTGCGATTCCTGGCATTCATATTGCAGGATGCCTTGCCAACAATGGCTGAACCGTATACACACACAACCACAAACACATAGACACACACACACACACACACAATGGAAACAAGCAACACAACACAAAGCACCGCCGCATCTGGTTGAGCACCGCGCTGCTTCGCAACCAACACCAAACAAAAGACCAACCCGTCATTGTTCAGCCCTTTTCTGATTGGTGGTTTGGTATAGTTTGGAGGCGTTCCTTGGGGGTCCCATTTACCCAAACCAATCCAATTGAGGCGCTGGCCGAGAGCAGCATGCTTCCCTCCTTCAGCGGGGGCGCTGCCTGGACATCGCGGCGAGGCGATCGAGGACAGGTCTTTGGGGTCCCTGAAAACCGTGTCCCCTTTCTGTCCAACTTATAAAGATCGCACCAAACGCGGTACAATGGATAAAAAGGGCCCAAGAGGTGATGCTTGAAACCACAAAGGGAAACACAGGAAACCCTGGAAAAGGTTCCCAAAGAACCTTCTTCAAAGTCGGGGTTCTCACACCTTTCCAAGGCACAAGCATCGCAACTGCTCCTTCGGTCCCGCTTAACTCGGTCGGCGAACACTTGTGGGTCCACCTGCCCCATGGTCAAAGGGTCAAGACCAGCTGCCTGCCGTCCAAAACCTGATGATGCCATGCATGCCCGCACCAAAAATTGCAAAGGGCCAAAGACAACCCAAGAGGCAAGCAACGCTTTACGGGAGGTACTTGAACATCCTGAAGTCCACAAACAGCGCACCCAAATGGCTGTGGGTCAAAACTAGTGAGATCCCATTTTGGGGTAGGTGCACCACCCATTTTAGAACCTATTTTAGTGGGGATTGGGATGTTTACTGGGGGTACGGGATTTTGACCCATGGCCAAATGTCCAAAGCTTTGGTTTACGGGCAAGAAAGGAAACATGCCAAGGGCGTCGCCTATGTTGCACTATGTTGCACTATGATGCCCAAGGCCTAGCGATTCTCACGAGCGTCAAGCACCGAAAAAGTGTTCAAACATTTCAAAGAGTGTTTGACAAAAGGGGTGGACGACTGAGAGCTCAGGATTGCCCATGCATATTGAAAGACCTCCTCAGCTCGTGAAGGCATCGAGGCTATTTGCAACCGGGTCTTGTGTCCGTTTTCAGGTTGTTCAAGCTGCTGGACCAGGGGAGCTGTTGGTGGACATCATTTACATGTTTTGTGTCCACTAAATATGGAGAGTGCCACCCCCTAAAATTCACAGCCTCTCTGGCTCGGGCAAGATGACTGCTCCGCCAAAAACCAAGTGTCTGCAGCTTTGCCCTGCCGTATGTTTCATGTCCTGGTTTGCATCATCGCGTTTTTTTTTTTTTTCTTTTCGGCTGCACACGAAGCTTACACCTGGCCAATATTGAAACCCGTGCAATGCCTTGGCTGGATGCTAACAAATTCTTTGAAGGAAACACCAGCCAATGCGGAGGCAAAGATGAGCAGGGCATTTTTTCAACTCAACGGTGCCACCACGACAACGCTGAGTGATGATTGCAAACTCCTCCCTGTCGAAGCGCCGGGCTCGAAGGTTGCAACATATCCGCTGGATAGCTTCTAGATGTCTGGAGGTTCACTGCCTTGGTATCTCAGTCATATTTAGAATGCCCCTCACTAGGCATAACAACATATCTACGCGGATTTTCACTACAACACCTTCCAATGAAGGTGCTAGTGCTAGTGTGGATATGTGAAACCCTCGCAATCTTTGACCTCTCTTGTTGGATGTCCATTGGCACTTTGGGCAGCGCTTTAAATCAAAGCGCCACGATGCACAATCCGGATGCACAAAGAGCCCACTTTCATGTTGTCTCCAAGACCCACATGTCAGCGGTAGACTCCAAACCAGCAATTTACATTTCGCCCCAGCCGTGAACACAAATTTCGAACAGCCGAGACCAAAGCATACAAAACGGATTGGTGCGAAAGGAAAGCCAAAAGAACACCTATATGGGGTTGATGCGCTACTCACTTGGGGATATCAACCCCATCGAGGTGGAGACTCGTACTGGAGACTCACCGGGCGCCTTGCTCATGAACCCGTCTTGGTGCACACGACCCACGAAGACGCCCTCCTCGGAAACCGAGTGAGGCCGTCGCGCTAAGGTTCCAAGTGATGGGCTGCAAATCATTGGGAACCAACAGTTGCTTTCGGTCGGCGTGTAGGGAGTTTATGCGGGAAACACAGCAGCCTGTCGTCGTTTAAAAGAAAAGACATGTGTGAAGCAGTGAGGGCACTCGGTGCTGAACCAATCGCCGGCCCTCTGCCCCTGCCCGCTCCTCGTTTGCCCGGATATTGAAGGAAAACCAGGGTACATCAGTTACATCAGCCATCCGAGGTTCGTCGGAAGGAAAAAACTATGTTAGCCACATGGCAATTGCAGGGCCTGAGTCGGGAAACAGGCGGTTTTCTTTTGTGCTTTATCGGGCATGTCTCGCCTGCGGCTTGTTTGACATGGGGACATGGCAGTTGGCCCATCCGACACCCTGTGGCTGTCCTTGCACCCTTCGGTGAAGTTGTAGAGCGCCTGCTCCAAATCGAGCAGAGTGAGCAAGCGAGCAACCAAACATGGACATTGGGATATGGAACAGTAGCTCTGCCAAATGTGCCGGGGCTTCCAGGTACAGGAGCTTCCTGTTGCCGCTCTTGTGCTACATGTCTTTCTGCAGGGATTCACGGCGCACACACTTTTTCTGAAACAGCTTCGGGTATGCCTTGATAATGGCCGAGGCGATGGCGATCACAGGCCTAAGCCTTGACCCAAGAAACCCCAGACCAGTTGTGATGGGAACAAAGGGGCATCTGTTTTGTTGGTTATCCTCTAGCCGATTCTAAGGGGAACCCCCAAACAAAAGGGAAACAAGTACGTCATGGCAGCTCTGGGACGCTGGTGCCCTGAATGGAGTCACCAACATTCACTGTGCGAAATCATGGGGGCCATCAAAGTGACATCTCAAAACACAACCTAAATGGTTTAAACGCAAATCACGGGGACCCAAACAAAATTTTGAGAAGCCCCCCAAATGGTCATCTTGAGGGCTTCAGGGCTCCAGTGCTACGAAAGCAAAAGCTCAGTTGCGAGCTCACAAGCAGCGTGCGGGTGCTTACCACCTGCGACGTTTCTCTCTGCTTGTACTGTGTCGCTTCTCCTTCACAGCAAGCCTACACAGAAACGACAGCTCCAAGTTTATCTGCATGCCCGCAAAACAACTCCCAAAGAAAACGGCAAGCCTCCTCAATTTTCTAGGTTCTGAAGGAAAACCTTGGGTGTTGGATGGCACATTCAAGAAGGGGCCTCATAACTGTACCAACTTTTGGATGTGGACATCCCCTGATGTGTTGTCTGTTGCTCCTAAACCCACCTCAAAAGATAGGTATCAGGAAAAGAAAAACAATCCCTCACAGGTATTCCTTGCTTTTGAGGATACCGTTGTTGAATTTCCTCAGAAGGTAATGTTAACCCCGGATTATTAAACCCCTGGTTGATTGACAGGCAGGTGTCTCCTTTTAGTGGGGATTCAGACCACTTTTGGAGGGAACACCGCCCTACTGATGGGACGGGTTTATTAATCCTGGGTCAGCATTATCCTCAAAACAAACGAATCAAACACCTCCAGCTTTCGCGATGATCGCCTGGTTGGGCTGGATCACGGTGAGACCGTGGCCCGGCGTCTTGAAGCCTCTCGGCCAACCGTCCGGGCTAAAGATCTGAGCCATCTGCGAAGTCCAAGGCCTGTTTTCGTGCTCCCTCTATGTTTCCTCTATGGGCTTGGGCGACTCATGATTTTCTTCTTGGTGGTTGAACCAAGGGGCGCACAACAAAAAGGGCCTATACTTCCCGGTGAGTCCCTTTTGCCAGGCCGCCATGAAGGCTAGAACTAGATGTCGATCCCTTTCCCATGGATTGGATTCAGGTCCAAAAGACCAGGCGAAGTCGAAGCCGCACAGCCAGGGAGAACCACTAGGTCCTCCAGATTTGAGAGGATGGAATAAGGGTACCGGTTCTTTTTCTGTAGTCTATTTTGGTAGGGGAACCCTCCCAACCAAAAAAGAATCGGCAAAAGGGCACCTAGCTGGGGGACCTAGACCATATTAACAATTGCGGGATACGATGGCAAGTGGGAATTGTCTTCCAGGGTGCGAGACCTTCAAGACCCAGGAAGCACAGTTGACAGTGGGTTGACTCGAGTTGGCACTTGTTTTGGACAGGTCAGAATGACTTTTGGAAGTTGTAGTTCCTCTGAAACACCGCTGGAAGCACCATGTTGATGGTATCCCTCCCATGGACCCATCTCGATGCCAAATTGTAAGCTCGAGTCGCGGTGGAGGCAAAGCGGCCAAACCCCCAGTGGACTTCCGGAAAAGGGCCACCCCTGGCTTTTTGGTAGTTGATTTTCACGAGAAACCTCTCCAAAAAAAAGCAGCAAAGAAGCAGGTCTGGGGAAAGCGCGGCAACTCAAAACAGACCCAAATGCTCTCCGGCCTAAACGCCTCCAGGGTTGCGCGGCTTGCTCCTACCGCGAAGCAGTCGGTGGATTGGACGGTCCCAGTTGCGACCAGCAACTCTGGCAGAACAAGCTAGCCGTTTTGGGGTTGCCGCTTCTAAGTAAGGACCACACAAAACAAAACAAACAATACAGCAGTTGAGCAACAGGAGGGTTGGTGGTTTGTCGGTGGCTGGTTGCCGGCAGCTTGGACGAAGCTGGCAAGGTGCTTGTTGACTTCGCGGTGTGGATGTTGGGACTTATTTTTTGGATTTGCAAGCTTGCATTGGTGCTTTACTGTCGCTGCGTGGGTGACTGGCTTTTTGTGTGCGTATGTTAGTGTTGCTTGGTTGGCTGTCTTTCGGATGACACCTGAACCTGGTTTGATGAGGCAAAAACTGGGGCAAGTGAGATCCTCATGTCAATCGGCAGGTTTGTGCAAGTCTACCCAAATTTCCGTCATGTCATTCAGGAATCTTCCAACTCGGCTTCGTCGAAGAGTTGGCTGAATGCTCTCCGCGGTCATCCCATCCTTCAGGTGAAGGTTCATGAGGGCCTGACAGGTTTGCTTCGTGGCTATCGCTGAAGAACCGGCTGAAGCCAAACCCCTTCACTCCGAACTCGAAAGCGAACAAGAGAACATCCATACATCCCCACTTTCCTTCAGTAGGAGTGGAGCAAGGGGTCTTCCATTTCCACTTATCTGGTCATCTGGTCTGCAACCTATAGAAACATCTTTGCCACCTGTTGCCGGGCCTTTAGGAGTGGATCGGTTGAAACCAAAGCAACCTTTTGAAGGGTCCAGTGTCCGAAACAATCCAAACACCTCAGAAAGGGGTTCTAAAGCTCACGTGCTGCTTGCGGATAGCAGGCCAGCTGTCATGATTGTCATGATTGTATCAATCATCGCCTGCTTTCCCTGGACCCTGGAGCGTGGCCCCTGATCAGAAAATGATAAAGCACACCCAGTGATTCCATTTCCCTACCCAATGGAACCACCGTTTGAAAACCAAGAGCAAACTGGTGAAGGGTCGGCTAATATTTAGGGAACTCGGATCCACTGGCAAAGCTAATCACCGCCAAGATGGTCGTCCCAACCGGGACCCAAGCCGCAGGATCTAGAACCCGTCAGGGCGAACTGGCCGACCAGATCATGAAGTGGTCAATGCGTAAGGGGATTGAACCAGGATGCCAACCAGCTACTGCAACACACAAGAAGTCTATCTGGAGCCTTCACACCAAACACATTTGCGGAGAATCTTGCGTGGAGCAAGGCCTGGATCAAAGCTGCGTCGAAATGCCCCGCCTGGACTCGGAAGGCCGGGATCACGTAGTTGATGTTTTCGCCTGGAAGGGCTGGTGCTGGTTTGATGGTTTGATGGTACCCGTCATTCGGCTGTGGGTCAAAAATGGGTATTTTGGAACTCTAGTAAATGGAACCAAGGACTAAAACCTGCGGTCCCCTGGTGCTTTAATGTTGACCATACCCAAGTCTGGAGGTTCCTCAGGAAAAGGCGAACCCATATTCCTTTGATCTTGGGTGACTTACTGATGGTATCCTTTTACAGGGATTGCTTGTTCTCCGGTTTCTCCAAAGGACCCTGATTTTGGGGTTACCAAGAGACAAATCCTTCGGGGGCCCCCGAGAAATGATTTTGGAGATTGCGCACCCATTGAGCTTGTTCTAGCCAAAAAGGAAAGCAAAACGTGTAGCCGATGTGTCCTGGCCAATCACCAGGGCAACTGCCAAAATGGGTGGCTTGCTTTTGGTTGTCTTTTTTCTTCGTCCCAAGCGAACCATTGTCAATATGTGATACGTTTCTCAAGAGGGACAAAATGGCTCGACCCCTGGTTCTCAAACAAAAAAAACTTGGGTCCCCCCCATGTTGCACACTTCACAAGCTGTTGCAACACTAAGACGGGTATGTGCCAAAACACGCTCACGGCCCGTTCCAATCTTTGGTTTCCTGCTAGAAACTCCTCAAAGGGGTCCTGGCTTTCTCAAAGGGGTCCTGGCTTTGACACAGTCGAACCATAGCTCGCATCGAGGCTCTCCTCAAAGACGTCCAGCGCTCAAGTGGACCAGGAGTCAAAATGATCACAGAAACGTTCCCCTGGTATGTCCATGCACACAGGCCGCTGCATGAGTATTGGCATTGGACTACTACTTTCGAGTGGTGGGCACTACTTCTCAGCTTGAAAAGGCTAGGAACGCATCGTCCCAAAGCAAACAAACCGGTTACGCGAAAGCTGGCTGAACACCCCCAAAATCTTTGGTGGATAAATGAAGTCCAAAAAAACTTGGCACACACTGCCCTCGCCTCGTGTGGCACCCGCAAAGTTCACTCCGTAAACCTGGCGCTCAGTTGCGGGAAACCCCGTTGTGTGCACGCGGAGATCAACCACCAATTCTAGGCTTTTCCTTGACCGCTCACCAAGCTCTGTCGCAGCTTCTGGAAAACTGGCTGCTTGCAAAGGAGCGGAGCCGTTTGGGGGTCACACCGAAAAGTGATCAAGACATTCCGGGTCACTATTCTTTCACATCAGTTGGCCACCGGATCAGCATTCAACCCCAAGCCTAGAATTAAATCATATATTCAGTGTGCGTCAGATGGTCAAGGGCTACAATTTCAGATGGTCAACGCTGCCCAAGCGCAATCCAGGAACCTCAGACCGGCGAGGGCCATGGCCCAACCCACCGGCCATTGATGTCTTCCAAGTTTGCATGTTCCACGCCCATCCAGCCGAAATAGTTACAAACCAACACACACACACGCACACAACTCGGTCGTATTCGCCCTGAATGGTAGAGATTCCCCTGCTTGGCTTCCTATTTGGATTCCCCTTACCATCCAAAAATGGCACTCCCTTTGAGAAATACCCACGTCCCAAATGAGTATCCCTGCCTCCCTGCCAGCATCATCAAGCAAGGGGCCGCCACCTGCTATGCCAAGTCAAACATTCAACTCGGGCTTAAATAACCAGAATGGGTGTGGGGCACTATTCCAAGCGAACCGCATGTGTGGGTACTACTAAACCGAATTGCTGTACCGCATGATTACTTTGTCAGGACTATATACATATATATATATATATATAGATTATGTGATTTTTGATTTGGCCCCTTTGTTCATATCAGTTGTGCCGTGCTTTCCTCACTCACCTGGCGCTCTCCTACCCCAATCTGAGTCGCAAGGGCAAGGCTGCGGGTCCCTTCGTCCATGGGCCCGTGAAGCACGCGAGGTGCAAAGAGAGGCTGCGTGTATGAAGAAACTATCTGCGACAACCTCCGCAAACCGGGGGGTGGGGGGGGGTCGGCAGAACAAGAAGAAACAAAGAAGCAAGCAAGAAGGAAGGCAGAGAGAGAAAGCAAACGAGCAAGAAGGAAGAAGTAAATTAGGAAGGAGTAGAAAGAAGAAGCAAGGTGCAGGAAAGGAGGAGAGAAAGAAGAGAAGGAAGTCTTGAACAAAAGGTGGCAAAAACTTCACATCCGATCTCCAGAAAAGCATTTACGTAGCGCTGAACTCTTTGTCAAGCCCAGTAATTCCGGTTTGACTGTAGCATCAGGTTTGTTCACCAAGTTTGATTTCTGATACTTTCCTGTACACACTGTAGTCTATGTGGTAGTGAACTGGAACAGACTGGAATGAGTAAAAAACGCAAATTCCAGGGCTGTGGGAATTGAATTGCCCACCTCTGTGATACCCTCCCACTTGCCAAACACTCATCCGCCATTCATCGGGGAAAGCTTCCTTGCTTTGCAAAGGGACCAATCATTTTATGGGAATTGTCCACTCTGTGATACCAATGGAAGGCAATCTATATGGCAAGTTCTGATGTCCTGCAATGAAGCGGGAGCCAATCCCATTCCCATAAGGCCTCAATGGACCTCATTCCACCACAGTTCCGACGATCGCAAAGAAAAACCAACCAATGTTGACGTGTTGTATTGCAAAAGCCCAGCCTGACGGCAGCCATTTCGTTCACCAATCCCACTCCATTTATCGCAGAACGCCCGGTGACTTCCTTTCGGGAAAGCGGGTCCGGCGGATTCCTTCCAAGCACCCGGCTGTTCCCAGGCGAGATGGGAGCCGTAGACCTGCCGGTCGAGCCGTGTCCAGATCTCACTGGCGCAAAGCATTGGATACATATAGTCCTGAACCCTCGAAATTCCCTTAAAAATGGAAAAGACCCCCAAAATTATGGGGTGATATCCCATTTTTATGGGTAGTTTGAGGGTCCAGGGTGTCCTTTTGGGAGAAATGGATGGCCCTGGTAGATGAAATTAAACCACCAGGTAAACCAGGGGAACCCATCGATTTTTTGACCAAACCGACCAAAAAGGACACCTATGATTGGATACCTGCGTAGGTGTATCCGGTGGCAACTGAAGCACCTGAAATGAGGGCTGCCTGGCAACACAGATCAGCACAAACACATCAGTTGGCAAGTTTCCCGGCTTCCGGAACTTGGAGCATACTCAAGAAGGTAGGTACCCCTTTTGGTGGATTGAAAGCACACGCGCGTCAACCAACTTGATCATGCCTTTGGCGCGCTGGGTCAAGGATTTAGCCCCCAGCTGGATGCAGAGGTTGCTGTTCACGATCTCGTTGCCAGCAACATTGCCTGCCAAAAGCACGCATGCGCGACTCTTCCGGCAACCGGATGCAAGCAACGTTGAATGAGAACCTGCGACCGCTTTGCCGCACAATTGAAAATACAACGTACGACATAGCATCCTCCTTTATGGCTCAAGCCCAAAGGATCTTGACTCATCCACAAGAAGTTTGGTTGCGCCGGCGAAGCCATCTGCAAGCTTCACGATAATTAGTTCCAAAACTCGAAATAAATAATAATAACAATAAAAACAAATGGTTCCTCGAGGATCATCAGATTTCACAGGGCCCTACCCAAGCAACGGTTTGTCGCAACGAGTCAAAAGCGAGACGGAAAGTAGCGCGGACTAGCCCTTGATTGGCACCAAACAAACATCATGCGGGCTGGGGGGGAGGGAGGGGGAGGGGGAGGGGGCTTATTTGGGCTCCCTCCCCCTCCCCCTAAAAATTAAGTAATGGGGGGCTCTGAGGTAGGGTATTTTCAGTTCAGGGCTTCAGGGTTCAGGGTCAGTTTTCAACAAGCAAACCATTTTGTTCAAAACACCAAGGGGGATTGTGGGATTTTTCTAAAATTTCTGAACATTTCTTTACATTTTTTTCATTTAATAACAGTCTAACAATTTAACATTTTCAAGGTTCAGGTTTCAGACCATTTTTAGGCTTTCTGGGGGATACAAGTGTTTAACCATATTATAGTTAAATAATATGAATAAACTTAATCATAATCACTATCATCAGTATCTCTATAATTAAACCAGTCTATAATCAACCTTTTCTTTTCTAACAAATGACAAACGAATTTATGGTAAAACTCATTATCAAAAATATTTTTATAAACGACCTTGTCTTTGTTTTTTATATATTGCCACTTCAATGCTTTCAGAAAATCTCTACACATTGAAACACTAAAATCCCTACAAGACACATAAGCATCATTGTTATGATAAAGTAAATTATAATGAAACTTGAAAGCACTATTATAATATAAAACTAACATATTATCATATCCATACTCTTTTAAGGTTTTGTCTAAACCTGTTGTAAATATTGTCCGTAATGACTTTTTGGTCGGACATTTATTTAACCTCGTCATATACCGAATCCACTTATCCATTTAATTGAAATTTTCAGGTTCCTTTTTCATTAAATGTTTTGTAATGGTGCATCTTTTACAACTTACAAAACTCAAAATATTATCAATGATACAGTCAGGTAATATGTCATTTGCTTTTTTAACTTTGTTGTTGAATATCTTACAACCACGGCATTTTACAATTTCTTTTGTCAATTCTTCTCTGATACACTTATTCATTTTTCTCTTAATATATGAAGGGGTCATTTCTTTAAGTATTTTTAGTTTTTTGGGGTTGGTATTGTGGGTTTCAGTTTCATTATTTTATGTCTAAATCATGTTTGGTATTTCTTATATATTAATTCACGGTATAATGATTGAATTGGTTTTATATCGTCCTTTTTGTTTTTGTTGTTTTTCCATTTATCAAACATAACTTTGTATTTACTAAATTCATTTTTTGATATTTTCCCTTTGTTCAATCCTTCTTTGAATGCTTCGTCCAACAGTTGTATATTCATTCTTGAGGGTGCTGTTTTGTCTTTTTGTATTGTCTTTTTTGGTTTGGTTATTTCAGGTGTATTGTCGTCTTTATCTTTGTCAGGTTGCAATCCAGATGATGATGCACCTTGCGCTATTTCAGGAGTGTGCTGTATTGCTTTTAGCATCTTCTGTTTTCTTCTTTGTTCGTTTTACTTTTTGCTTTTGGTCTCATCTCTTCTGGTGCGTCTCGTTCTTGTCGTTTTTGTGCGTCATCTCTGATGCTTTCTATCGCCATTGTCTCGCTTTCATCCATTGTTATTGCTTCCAATGACGCCTTTGCTTTGCTTTTGCTTTCGCTTCTGCTTTTTTCGTGTTTGATGGTTTAATTCCTTTTGCTACTGCCTCTGGCGACTGGGAAGAACTTGAAGCAACTGTTGCGTTAAGATTTGCCATATCTTGAAATGCTTGTGTTCCTTGAAATATATTTGCTAAATCTTGACCTAAACTTTCATCAGTTTGTTTCATTCTTTGTAACCTTTGGTTCATATCATCAAAATGTTGTTTTCTAACGCTTTGAGAAACTTGGCTAATTTGCTGTTCGTGTTGTTCCTCGGCATTGTCCATTGTAGCATCCAGCGCTTCTGTTGCTTCATCTCTTAAATCATCCATTTCATCGTCCTTCGCTATATCAAAATGTTCTGTTTGATTTTTCTCATCTAACATTTTTTGAAAGTGTTGTTGTCTCAAATCTACTGTATTATTATCATACACTGTTCCTAATGGACTATCACGAAAATAATAAGCGTTTCTGTCTATTACATCTCTTATATTCTTATTTCTATATTCTTCCTTTGTAATTTCCTTGATGAGTTCATTATATGACGGTCTTAATCTTAATTGTGATTTTAGCGTTTTAATCTGGGCATTGTCTAATCTCATTATTATATGAAATTAATTAGATTATAAATTTGTTAGATTAACAAATTTGTTAATCTAATAAATTTATTAATTTTCATAAATGAAATTAACAAATTTATTAATCTAATATAATTAATTCGTTAAAAATTAAAATCTTGTCTTAATTGGTTAATTATTCCTTTCTTCTTCTTAATCATTTCCGAATAGGTTTACCTGTTTCACTTGATGGATGATGTCTCAATTTTTCACCTTCCAACCTTTGGATTTCATTAAAATACGCCTGTGCTTCATCTTGATATCTTCTTCTATTTTGAAATATAGCATAATCTTTTTTAGCGTTATGAAATTCTAACTGTTCCTTCATTTCTTTCAGATATGTATAATTTGGTTGATGTGCTTTGTTGTCTCCATCGTAATAGTAATGGACATTAGATTTATATTTTTTACTTGGTTTTGTTATGGGATTATAAAATTTGTTTGATGTTGGTAATTTACATGCTTTACCATTCTTTGTAAGTGTTGATGTTATATTTTCAAACTCTTGTCTATTAGAAAGCATTATATAATTTAATTAGATTAAATAATTTTACTTGCTAAATTATTAATTTTCTGTTTATTTTTATTATCTCGCTCTACCTTCATATTATTATATCTATCTTTTGCAGTTTCAAATACTTTATTAGCTGTTGTTTCTAAATGTTTTTTCAATCGTTCTTCAACTCTTCTTTCTATTTCTTGTTCATCCACTTTTGGAATATCGCTTTTTACTCTGTTATAAACATCTTCTTTGAATTCTTCTGCTTGGACTGGATTGATGACCTTTTTTCTAATTGGTTTGTTTGAATCTATAACTTTGTTAGTGCCCTTCTTCACTCCTCGGCAAGCGTGTTTATACTTATAGTTGTAGGCAGTCATTAAAGTTCCACAAGTAGGACAATTCATTTTCTCCTTCATTTCTTTTTTAACAGTAAACTCTTTTTCAACTACTTCATTATTTTCAACAGGTTTAACTTCATCAACTACTTCATTATTCTCAACTGGTTTAACTTCTTCAACTCCTTCATTATTCTCAACAGGTTTAACTTCTTCTACTGCTTCGTTATTTTCACTAACAACATCTACCACCTCTATTTT